TCAACGATGTCAAGGATATCACTTGGCAAGGAATACTCGTGCGGGCCTTGTGGCACTGGTAAGCTATGAGAACAAGGTATTTGCTTCATCCATGGTTCTTCAAGTTATATTCTGATCCTGCGCAAAGGCCCCTCCACAGCTATGGAAACTAGAAATGGTCAAAGACATTGCTAGGTTAACTCTTCGGCGAGTTAAAAATTAGGCCCCTAAGCCGAGCTATGACTGACTCAATGCCTCTATCAGGCATACGTACATGCCTAAATCCCAGGTAGATTTTGCAGGCCCTAGTTACTTTGGAGGCAAAAGTGACGAATTAGTCCTCTGCGCTGGGAAAGGCAAGCCTAGAAATATTCACATACCTATAGCAGCTGACTTGATTTTCTTTAGCCGGGGACATACACATATGGGATCAGGAATCCGGGGCACTGCTTCACCATGTTCGAGCCCAAGATCTCGGTGGGGACCTGACTTGCATAGCCTGGAACCATGCCGAAGACAATCCTTTCATGTTCGCCACAGGAAGTCATGATGGCGCTCTACGAATATGGACAAAAATTGAGCGACAATTGCAAGCTCATTCTTCCCCGGCTGGGCCGGATGATCAGCTTCCTTTCTTCACTCGCAGCTCCTCGCCATCTGAGATGGAGGGCATGCAGCGCACAGAAAGCCCATTAACACAACAGGAGTTCGAGTCGTCTTTTGCGAACAGTATGGAGAGCTTGACATCGTCCTCTGGTAACAGGGAGAGGGTTGTGGCATTTGCTACAACACATGCAGCCTCAAACTCTGGAATGTTATCGTAACAAAGGGAAGGAAGGATATATTTCAGAATTATCACGATATTATGGTTTTAAAGATACGAACACGTAGGCGTCAATGACCAGAGAATGGAGAGAAATTATATGCCATCGTAAACGGATTCGTCAGTAGACTTCCATTTTGAACGACGGCCATTACCAGTTGTACCAAGCCAATACAAAGGTTACTTCGTCATAACGATACTCAAAAATCATTATAAGATCGTTTGGAATTTTTGTAATGCTACAAGAACTCAATACGATGCAAGGTCCACGAACAGATTACAGATAAGCGAACAAAGAAGGGGTAATAACATATGTGCAGTCCGGATAATAAAACATGGTCGGCGAAGGGTTGTCGCAGAGGGCAGAACATCAAAATTTCGAAAGGCGGCAATCCAATCGAACGGGATGAACTGTGATTATTTTCCTGTTGCCTTCACGATGGAAACCACGATGATAACAATGATCACAGCAATTGCAAGACCGATGATAATGCGCATCTACGACGTCAAGGTTCGTAAAAATTATACGGGAAGAGACCGATATAGACGCACCTTCATATCCTTCCACCTAGCGACATGAGAGAATGGATCATGAGTAAACCCGGGTGATTCTCAGCTGACACATAACAATTTACATACCACATATTCTAACAGGATGGTCAGTTCCGTAGAATGTGATAAGAAAGTGAAGAAAAGGCGGCATACCTTTCTGACTCTGTTTGCTCCACGACGGAATCCTTGTGCAGATACTGCAAGGTTGTCTAAAAATCATATCGTCAGTACGCCGACAATTCCTGAGAGCTGCGCGACCCGTTCTGGCCGTGAACGAAATGAATGTACACTACAGCGCAGTGGAGTAGGGGAACCAGCGCACCTGTCTTATCCTGTAGCGAGTCCAACCTTTCACCTCTCTCTGCCACCTTCGAGATATTGTCTCTCATAATTTCAACGGTATCGTCAATTTGAGCCTGAATAGCAGCTGTCTTCGCATTTCCGCCCTGACTAGGACCCGAGGGATTTGAGGAAGAGCCATTCCTAGGAAGATAAGGGTCGTAAGGTTCGGACCTAGAGGATTTTGAGATACAGGTCAATGCCAAAAAAAATGTTGTTATGCTGTTGACTGACATTATGAATGCGTTGAGGTCTGAGCTTCACAGACTTGAATAAGAAAGTGCCACAGGAGAACCGGAAGTAATGAACTCACCGTGTCAAACGAAGCAGGAGTTGTACAAAGGGTTGAACAAGGCGTGCTGTCTGTCTGCTGGTGGTTGTTGACGAAAGTTGACGTAGAGCCCCCAGGTTTTCCCACGTACAGGATCTACTTCGCAACAGCTCATTGTCATCATTGTCAGTAAGCTGCAGTGCGCATATCTTTCAATCTTTTCTTTTATTCTTCTCATTTCTCAAACAAAAAAAATATCACGAATAGATGGAAAAGTAACCAAGAGAAAGCGGCATTCACGGAATAGGTTATATGTGCTTTACACAGCCAGTGTGAGTGAGTCCATTCCCGCAGGAACTGAAATCCACCTAGAGTCATGTTCTCATGTTAGAGATCCCGGAAGTTTCTAGCTGTGATCTGACGCAGATACCGTACATCACACTCCACTTACTGTAATGAAGGAACATATCGATTATCAATAGTGGTGAGACGCATACAAGATGTTAAGACTTCGAATTACCTGACCTCACTTCCTCCTTATCAGGATAAGAATATTAAGCAAGAATGGTCCATGCGGCTCTTGCAAGGCTTTGAATCCCGAGACGCTCATACAATCTGTGTATTTCCTTTCAAAAAAACTGTTAGGTCTTGTGCTTCCTTTACTGATATATACCCGTTCTACTGTGGTCATTCGCCTGCTTACTGGATGTGAATCTACATTCCGACTGATCTGCTCTTGATTATTCTTTTATATGGTCGACGAATGTTCCATCCGGGTATTACAACGCAGTTATAACTATCCGGAGTCTGATCTATTGAGGACATCGATGAACCAAAGGCCAAAGGCGGAGTCTGAAGTTACAACCTACAGGGCATATGGTGATAATAACGCCTTTTGACATTGTAGTGCCCGCGCTCATGCGTCAAGGTAAATTGTCTTTTCAAACACGAGCATCCCGGAAAGTCGTCAAATATTCGTTCCAATTCTGATGCGTTCTTTCCGATAGTGGCCACTGACTCCCGCTGTCCCTATCGTAGTGCATCGTAGTGCGTTTTACTCTATCTCACCGCCGCCGCGTTAACCGGTCAACGCGCCTATTCCAACCATTCTATTGACGCTCGTAAATATTTGCTGCCCTATTCCCGTAGGCGCGCTCTCTGAATCTCAAAACATTGAGATGACAGGATACAGATCAACAGAAACAACTCTGATATGATCTGCGAGGTGTCGAGATATAATCTCGCGTTTTGTACCGTTAGTCCAGCGTATATGGTAATTTCAGGTCTGAGGACCGACAAGTATGGATTTCTTCAGATTTCTTTTCATCTTACAAGTCGTCCCTGTTCGGGAATTTTCTCCCGAGGATCAAGGCGGTGACGACTCATATAAGAAGCCTGTTAATTATCGTGGACTTTATCCGAGCTTTCCCATAATGATTCACTTGCAAGCTGGACTATTAGGACTCGTGAGCACCACTCTCTGACCCATTGGAATTATATCCTCATATCTGCTCACAGGCCAATCATTTGCTATTCCACAAGTATGAACCCACGGATGCAATATTCGGACAAGCTATTCTGTTGTTGCTTTTGGAGCCTCTGGTTCTCAGCTTCATGTCATGGACGTACTCTACTGGCTTCGTGAGATTGCCTCCACATCATCTGGTGTTCAGCGCGTACACCACCTTTTACGCTGTATTGATAACCTCTATCGTCCTTTACCGAGTTTCGCCCTTCCATCCTTTGGCCAAAATTCCAGGTCCTATATTGTTCAAAATCACCAAATTCGCACCTCTCTGGTATCATTGGCAAGGACAGCAGAGCTCACTTTTCATGTCGCTCCACGCTCAATACGGGCCTGTCGTCCGAGTTGGTACGCCACAAGCTCCTATGACATTCATGATTCAGACCTAAGATATTTTGTATATGTACATAGCACCAAATGAAATATCTGTGGCAGATGTTGATGCAGTAGGTGCAGTTCTCGGCAGTGGGGGCTTACCGAAAGGGGCAGGTTTGTGATATTACTTTGAATCTCCGTTTCTGTCTTACGATCAAATACTTGCTTTCATAGCTTATATCAGATTCCGTGTAGTGAGTGGACCAGAGAACTTAGTCACGATGAACGGCGATCCGCATGCAGCCCGCCGCCGATTATGGAATCGAGCTATGAGCACCGAGGCTCTACAGGAGTACGAATCTATCGTTGCAAGCCGGGCGCACGAACTGGTTGACGCACTGGATGCCCAGATTTCGACGAAAGGTGCAGTCGATATGACCCAGTGGCTTAACTTCTTCTCGTGAGTTGCGTTGCTCTTTCATAAATCGGCAGCTACATAATCGTCGAACCTAGATTCGATTTCATGAGTGACCTAGGGTAAATGAATATCACCGTACTTGCGAGATCTGGCTTTGATGAACTCCCGCTTTCAGATTTGCTGCGGGGATTTAACATGATGAAGGAGGGTGACGTGCACAAACTTTGGCCTGGTCTTCATCTTCACATGAGGTATGATATCCAAAAGATGAGAGTTGGACTGGCATTGATTGTTCGTTGCTCACTGTTATCAGAGGTGTCTGCATATTGTCACATCTACCATGGATCCCAGACATTAGAAACCGTTTACCTTGGTTCACTATGCCTCTATGGCCCATTGCAAGAAAATGGTCTGCCAATCGTTTGCGTAATCCTTCTCAAAAAAAAGATATCTGGTACCATCTTGTAAGGACTTCACGAATTTGCATAGTGATGAGCACACGCTGATTAACTCTTGCCATTCAGATGGATGAAGCCGGATTAGAAAAAGTCAAACCGAGCCTGGCTGAAGTAGGCGCCGATGCGGTCCTCACTGTAATTGCGGGGGCTGACACTACTTCTTGTGCGCTCGCTGCGCTGTTTTGGTACGTTTGAAAAAAAGCACACGGATTCAGACACGGAACCAACTTCCAAAAATAGGCTTCTTCTGTCCCATCCGGAATGTTATAAACGCCTACAGCAAGAAATCGATGTAGTTTATCCTTCTGGTTCCGACCCTCTCGATGTATCAAAACATTCGCAACTCCGATACTTAGCTGCTTGCATGTTTGTGACAGCGCTATCTTCCGGTTTGAATGCTGAGCTAACATTACCTCGTTTTACAGCCAAGAAGCTTTGCGTCTTCTACCGCCTGCGCCCGTTAGTGGTGCAAGAGAAGTCCCGCACGGCAGCGGCGGCACAGAGATTGCTGGACAGTTCGTAAATTCTACGTCAACTTTTGTTTACCTACAGCTCACAAATTCCTCCAGCTTTCTCCCTGAAGGCACGCAAGTCTGGGCTCCACCAAAAGTCTTCCACCTCAATCCATCGTATTTCTCTCCTAGAACGGATGAATTTGTCCCAGAGCGTTGGTTAAATTCAAAGAAAGACGACGACGAGGAGAATGTGTTTAAAAACGACACGAACGCCTTTCTCGCATTCTCTTATGGACCCGCAAATTGTGCAGGCAGAAACCTAGCAAGGCAAGAAATGATGGTTATGTCTATTTTATTGCAGACTTTTGATTTCCGATTTGCGGACGGTTTTGATTGGGAAAAGTGGCCAGAACGACTGACAACGTTCTTTGTGACCATAAGACCTCCGATAGAAGTTTCGATAACTCGTGTGGGTTATAGTATTATTACATCGATAGCCCTGGCTGAGCCTGTGGACTGCAGCAGTCATTCTGATATGTCGAATACCCACATACTTAGAAGAACTCTGTGTAAATATACCTTGTTGTATAACTACTAGCTGTATCAACGCATGTCAAATATGGTTCCTATTTCTGCTCGAATTGAACTTTAAAGTCAATTCGCCAATGGCCACATCCATTGCCAACAACTTCAATGTCACTGTCAGTAGTCACACGCCTCCGGGCCTGCCAGATCTCCAAAGAACCATTTAACACCTATGAAAAAAGTACTTAATGTCAGCGCGGGTAAGGTGAACATCGACTCTGAATCAAATTCTACACTGACCGATCGAGTACGATCTACAACTACCCACTTCTCCCGCTTTCTGTGTGAAGCATGACATCGACAGTTTCCTGCATGGCTTCCACATTCCGATGAATCTCCCTCAATTGCTCCTGCCTCACCAACCTTGCTCTTTCCATATCGACTAAAATCTGGGAAGCTGTCTGCTTTATCTCTCCCAGTGCCCTATCAGTAGCGGCAGAGCTTTGCCTTATCTGTTGACTAGCCCGTTCGAGATCGTTGTAAAATTGCATGGCAAGGTAGAAGTTAACGAAACTAAAAACGTTGACACGAGGTGTTCACATAAATCATTGCGATTACCACATAGGATTCACACTAGTTGCAATTAACAACCATGGTAGAACCCAGTAGAACATGAACTGGAATCGTATGCGACGATGATAAATAGAAAGAAGACACTTGCGTCGTTGTCCGGTTTAGAGGAGATAGTCGCATGTTGAGCATGTGTAACGGAAAACGAGAGGACATCATAAGTGTCAGAGCATACAAAGGTGAATAATCAACGAGGACCAAATCCTTTATCGTCCACCCTTTCCACCCTTCATCTGTTGTTTGGATACCTTTGGTCCAGATGCACCACTTGGGCGCGAAGCAGGCTGGAAAAGATATCAGTGAAAGAAAGTGGACAAGAATCTGATATACACATACTTTGGCTTTCTTGTTCTCCTTCTCCTTTTTCTCAGTTTTGGCTTTAGTGATGGCAGCTAGTCTTGCCTGAGAACGGACAGCAGCAGTCTGGTTACGTCTGGCAGCAATGGTAGCAAGGTCGGCACCGACAATGCCTCGCTGGTGCTTTACAGTCCGGCGTGAACGCTTCTTAGCAACTTCCTCCGTGATACCCTTCTTGTGCATGCGCCTGTACACCTGAGTCCAGGCGATCTTACGTGGATTCTTCCTCTGCAAGAAGAGAGATGCATTTTTTGAGCTGGCGAAACGGAAGACCTGCAAGCAACGATTAGGCGGTCGGTATTTGGTAGATGAAGCATGAGCGTACTTTACTGTCCCCACGAACGAAAAGTTTACCCTTTGAGGGGTAGATACGGAAACCAGAAAAGGAGTCGATCTCGACCTTCTGCACTCGATACATCTTGATTAGCAGGAAGTCTCCCAAAGATGAAGAAAGACTCACCATCTATAATGGAAATACAAGACGGAGAAGCAGTCAGTGCAACTTTCATACAGGAAAAGCTTCCCAGCCCCCGCCCAAGAGTCATCCGTTCATTCCAACTTCAATCCAGCAGTAAATCTCGCTTTTGAATCACGAATTTGACACCAATATGAGGCCAAGGGATCATAGAATGTGTTTGAAGGGGTATTGTGGCATGAATTCAAGACAATTACCTTGTGTCTTGAGGTTTGAAGGAGTTGGAAGGCGGTCGGTTATTTTCAAAATTACAATTCGTTCGGCCGGCAACGGAAATCCTCGCGCTTCTCATTTTAAGCGCGCAAGTACATATCGTTCTTCCTCTGTTTCGGACGTGAAACCAACCGAAATGTTGGGTCACACTGGCATATCTACTGGGATATTTACACTAGCGGATTTGCTGTACACTGGAACTGCTCACCGAAATTTCTCAAACAGTCCCCAGTCCGTCACGCTACGTATTATTGGACTCTATCCAAGGGGTTCTATACTCCGTTTACTAAGTGGATCGTCTTACTCTAGTTTTATTGATTTGATTATCCCTATATACAGTGATCTCCTAGACAGTGTCATTTTAGTGGACCTACCAACGTTTCCTGAGAGGCGCGTCCCAGAACAATGGTGATGTATCACTTGTTTTAGAGATTCAGATTCTGCAGGCTGCCGCAGACTCGGTATGTCCTATGAACTGCACATTACCGTTAGAGTGTCTTACACAGTTCATGGGACCCTGATGCTCATTACCTTTTGCTCTTTCGGTGAGGCTTCGTCCTGGACAGTTTCCTCCCTCCCGACTTAGAACGAACACTAGGACAAAAGTATGACTAGTTATTCATTGCAAGCATTGTCGGACTGCAAACAGGTTTCAAAGAAAACTCAACCCGATGATGAAGCAACATAAGCGAAGAATAAATTTAATTTTTGCACGTTCTCAAGTAATATACACTAAGGTCTTATGCTATACTAAGCTACAGACTGTCAATGAAGAAATCAAGATCTGCAAAATAAAAAGAGAGTAACTTGGTGAGAAACTGACATCGACCGAAAAAGACAGGAAATTATGCAGTCAGAGATACGTGAATTCAATCAAAGCCAAAGCTCAGAAACAGCTTCTAGTTGATAATTATTTCGAACAGTATCATCACCAAAGAAAGGGAAGAAATAGACAATGACAGGGAGAGGGACTCACAAGAGTGGTTCGACCAACAAACATGGTGGTATGTATGAAGAATACTAGCAAAAAAACCCCCCGATGAGAGTACTCTGTAACTTATGGGATGTCAGCAAATGAAAAGCAAAATGAAAGGGGTGAAATTCAGAAGGGTTGCCCGAATGATTGAGCTGTGGCGGGCACTTTCGGCAGTGATAGTACGAAGACCGTCGTGATAAACATCATACGAGAACAAAAAAAAAACATCTGTACTCACATCCAAGACGCGAAGCACATGAAGATTTATAAGAAACGCCAGAGTGATATCTGAGAGAAAAGTAGTCAGCAAATGATTCGACGGACTGCAGGTCGAAGATTGGCTCAGTGTTTTTATAAAACAGCCTTGGAATTTTCGTCAACAAGCCCGGAAGCTTGGTCAGGCGGTGGTAACTCCATTCATATCATCACGGAATAGAGACGAAGAATATAAAGATGCTCACAGGAGGGTGTTCAGTGATGTGGTGGGATTGCATATATGCTTTAGTGACACCGACAAAACATCTGGAAATTGATTTAGTAATCATGGAAGTTCGCGGACAGCGAAGAGAACAAGCACAAGGATTCAGGGAAGATATGTTAAAAGCATAGGGCCGAAGACGCTCATATACTCTAGTTTGAATGTGTTTGAATCATCATAAAGAAAACGACGACGGCGATATGAACAAATAAGGACGAACAGACTCACCGACAACATCGAAGTAAAACGACTCTACGTTTTGAAATGTCCCCTCCTCCAAACTATCTTCCTCAAACTCCGCGTTATTTACATTTGGGACCGTGTCAGTACTTCCTCCTTCTCCCCGAGTAAAAGGACCTAAAGAAACAATGGGTATTCAGCGTCCGCAAACACAAGAAAGACAAAACCGATCAGCGTAACTATGACAAATAGTTTTACACTGCGTCAAAGAATAGGTAGCTCTCGACACTCAAGAAACATTGGAAATTTTCATCCCTTCGAAAGAGTAAAAGCACAAAACTCACCCGATTGGAATAACCATCGTGGTTGTGGAGGAGAGCTGAAAAAAAAAATTTATGATCGTGTCACGGCCTAGTTTAGGGCAGGCTGAGGTTGCACCGCGCTGCAAAGCGCGCTTATAATGTTCCAAAAATGCTCATGTCCATATTAAGCGCTCAAGCCGGTCCGCGTCGAAACGGCACTCATTCTTCTCACGGTCCATCACAACAGAATCCAAAGCGACCTCGTCGACACACCTCAAGTACCTCAAGACTAAGAAAAAATGGTTAGTATATCCCTAGATCTCTGATTCTAGTCTTGTCTCTGGTGTCCCTTGATATGCTGCTGGCTCTCTGGAAGAAGGAATTGACGGAATTTGGGCTGGATTGAAAAATCTGTGGTCGGATGAGCTTTTACACTTGGATGTTTGGGATATTTTCGCATCTTCTCTATCCTTCGTCGCAGACATAATACTGATGCTATATTTTTTTCCCTCTCTTTAGACCAAAGGTTCGTTCATGGCTCGCCCAAGGAACTCGCTGATATATATTTTGCCTGTCGATTTAATCTGAATAGGAACCTCGTCTTTTGGGTGCGTTCCAATCTATATTGCAAGTTTCCCAATGATAATTGATATGTCTCACTTCTTCTAGTAAGCGACACACAAAGTCGCACCACGCTTTGCAGGCGATGCGGTAACAGGGCTTTCCACAGACAACACAAGAGTTCGTCATTATCCTTCATCAGTCCGTCGAATGATCATTCATATCTTCATATTTCCTCTCAGCCTGTGCGTCTTGCGGCTATCCTTCGGCAAAGATTAGGTCTTACGAGTGGGGGCTAAAGGCAAAGCGCAGAAAGACTACTGGAACTGGTCGTATGAGGTATCTGAAAGAAGTGTCGCGCCGCTTCAAAACGGATTCCGGTAAGCGTTCATTTTAATTCATTCACAACACATTTCGTAATCGACTATCTTCAATCGCATCTAGGGAGAACACAGTGGCTAAAAAACGTTCCAAGCCGACTGCTGAAGCATAAGCAGCTCGCATACATATACACTCTCTTCCTTCGCAATGTCCATGTATTCGTATACTTCCATGCTATGCACCAACTGCCCATGCCCACATTCGTTAAACAAATGAGCCCCTTGGCGAAGCTCATGCTGCGGGTGAATGGAGGTCTGCAAGCACAAGTGTAAAATGCGATTATGTGATGCTCTAGGTGCAGAAACGAGCATTGGAAATGATAATTTATCAGTAAACTGCTTACAGAGCAAGAAAAAATGATTTATGCATCCGTTCTCATTTCTCTTGAGATTTTGCATTCAAAAAGTCAGCTTCCACTGACTGCTTCGATTTGCATTTATTGACAGAACAAGAACCGGAAAGGAGAATGAGAGACGAGTACTCGTGTAACTCTGAAACGCCGAGAACTTTTGGAGGGATTGATTTGAATCGGCAAATGATATGGTCGTACGTACGTTTTAGGTGTATTTTCGGCGATGGGGGACGAGCGTTTACCTGTGAGGCTCTTCACCCCATAAACAATATCTAACCCATCACCCAGCATAAGAGTTAAATGGAGATTTGGGACATCATCATACACTTGAGGTCTTCAGAATCACTCCAATTATTCTCTCGATTAGTTCACTCTACTTTTTCTTTTTTGACCTGGACTATCGAGCTCGTTCATAATTACACCTTTGGGCTTTCAGAATAACTCTTAATAGCGTGCCGTCCGAGATTCAGATGGTCTAAACAGGCCGAGGCGGGGTCACGGCTATGATACTAGAAATAGAAGTTACGCTTGCTTCGCTGCATTTATTTCGCAAGCTGCACAAGAGTGAAGAAAATCGATCAATTCAATTCTTCCTCCGGGGCTCTGTAGATACGACTTGAACGCGGTTGAAAAGCTGTTTAATGTTGGATTAATACTTCGTATGCTTGCTTTCTTCGTATGCTTGCTTTGGTACGTGTGACTATTATTCCGGCCACCGAACTCGACCACTCCTATTTACTACTCGATCACCTTATATACTTGATACTGCCGTTTGAACTCCCTCAGTTGATAAGGAAAACCTCAATCACCTTATATACTTGATACTGCTGTTTGAACTCCCTCAGTTGTTTTCCTTATCAACTGAGATTTCATTCAACAGATTATGAGACTGGAGTTCAACTGAGCTTAGGAGACAAACTCACATATTGATTGCAGTCAGTTATTATCCTCTATCTTGGAAGCTATGTCCTCCACAGCTAGTTCGCTGTCGATCCCGCGCTTCCCCGAATCATCTCAATTGGCTGGCGAGTGTTACGATCACTTCTTTTTCATCTTATCTTTTCCTTATCTTGTCTTATCTTTTATCTTTTGTATTATCTTCTATCTCTCTTATCCTATATCTTGTCTTATCTTGTCACCTGACCTATTATTTATGCTTACTGATACAACATGCGCTTTTCATTTACTTATATTAAACACAGCAGTCTCACAACACATATACAGCATGACGATCGAGCTTTCATTACTTACACATTGCTTTACTTATGTTCTACTCATGTTTACCACTAACCCAGGGCGTTGGGCATTAGTAGGGCGGAGGGTTGTTTACTTGTATATAAGCTGTAGTTACTTGCTGTATTTCCTTAGCTTTGATCTCGTCTATTCTACCTGGTTTAGCCCAGAACTCTGCTTGCTTTATCGCTTCACTATCTGAGGTTTTCTTGAGTGTGACACCTGGTGACACCCGTTACTAGAACCAGTCGCTGACAGCGAGAATAC